CAGGCCTCCTATAAATAATGGCTGTTGGGATGAGGTTACTTGGTGGTAGGAGTCCTTCTTTTCAGAGGAAAAGAAATATACAGTACAAAACACAGAGCTGCATTTTCACAGCTCTTCCACAATTAGCTCCCCCTCCCAGGATCGGGAACATCAGCGAACACCCAAAGGCCCGAGTACCATTGGTCTGGGGGGGACTTGGTTTCCCCTTTGAGTCTAGTCCAATCCCAAATTAGGGAAGATAAGTGATTCCTGGGCTTTTGAGTGCATTCACTTATCATCCAGTGACCTATTGTGGAGTCAGGGGATGGGGCAGACCCCAAGGCAAGCACTGACTGGGACACGCCGCTAAGCCAGGAGGCTGGACACAGTATACCTTTGCAGGTGAAGCATTTGATGTGGAAATGTTTGGTCTGGACCCGAAGCACTTCGCCCTTGCATGGCTCTCCACATTTATGGCAGTGAATGACAGGCTTCTCGGACGGGTGGTGGGGGTCTTGAGGGTGGGCCACTGAAATAAAAACAACAAAAGATCGATGTGAGCAGAAAGCGTCCCTGCAAAAGAGGTCGTCATCACAGGCATGCCGAAGTATCCCCATCATTTTGGTATCAAACGAACCGCATGTCAATTCAATAAGTGTGACTTGAGTCCCACCCCCTCATGCCATAATCATGGGGATACGCAGATAAATAAGGAAGTTGTGGCTTTAGCCGTCCAGCAGGGCAAACACTGGGCATGTTCCTCTGGGGGCCAGCCATTCTCTATTTTCCTCCCACACTTATCCAGAACTATGTGACTGGGTCCTTAAACATATGATCTTGTTTGGTTCAGTGTGTTGTAACATACATTTGTAATATGTCTTTATCGTGCTTTAGAAAGCACCCTTTTGCAAGGAGTTCACTGTCCTGTAAATTCCTTGGGGATGGGGGCCGTTTCTTAAAGTTCATGTTTTTCCCCCCTTTTGTACTTCTCCGCCCTCCGTTAGCTCCTCCGTGCACAGCGGAACGCTCACGTGCCAAAGGATTTAGTAAATGTTTATTTACTGATTAGTTGGTAAGAGCGGGCTAGTTTCTCCTCTACTCCACCGGAGTCATTTCTACATGTGTCTTAGCCAAAAGGCCGAGACACCATCAGAGAGACAGTCATTCCTGGTCTTGATTTGGCCGCTCATTTGACTGTTCGCTGGAGGCCTGTTACGAGCCTCCTATGATGTGCTTGGTTCCTGATACACACACTGCAGGCGGTAATTTAAAAAATAATTACAATTAGGAAACATGTGGCTCTCTCAGAACCTCAGTTTCCTCTCCTGTAAAACAAAGGGAGTTGGGACAGAGGATTTCGAAGGTCTTTTTTAGGCTCTAAAATCATGTGACGGGACTTAGGGGACCTATGCTCTCAGTCTCCAGAGTGCCCAGCAGAGGACACTGCCAGTGTCCTGCAGGACATAGGATTTATGGCCTCCCCTTCCCAGAGGGCTGAGGGAGCCGTCAGCGAGAGGACACCGGCGGCCTGACGCTAACCAAGGGTCTCCATTCAACGTGCCGTTTCTCCAGCCAGAGGAGGCAGAGGCTCTTTTTGCTGTGAAGTTCCTTTTCCGATCTGGGTCCTCGGAAGGCGGAGCCGTGTGATATATAAAAACGTATTACATAAGTAGCTACATGAGTGTGATATGGGACAAGAACAATGAACCTAAAATGAATCAACCAACACAAAGAACAAAGATGAATTTTTTTTCTCTCCAACAGTAAAACCGAGCTGCGCAGGGGGGCGATGTGGGCAGATGTTGCTGCAACTCTGTTTACAAAAGCACCTACAGGCGCTCGCCATGCCCCACAGGCATAATAGTGCATTGTTCCTCGCCGCCCGCTGTAACGCTCTCATTTCGCCTGGAAAGAGTTTGAACAAGACAGTCCAAATAATCCATTACCAGCTACAGGCTGAGGAACAAGGTGCTTCTTGTGAGGGTGAGACGAGGAGCAGGTGTAGTTTCGGGTTAAACACCTGATCCGAGTTCTCTGCACTGGACCCCAGGAGTGTCCGGCAAAGGGACCAACATTGCGATACACCTGCATTTCCTTATCTACCTGCTGGGATCTCTCTTGGAAACCCATGTTTACAAGAGCCAGTGTATCTAAAGGAATGAAGGGAGCATCCTTTCGAGATCTCTAAACAACCACTGACTTTTAGAGTGATGTGTAACAAGGCCAAAAATCTACTCACCTGAGCAGTAAAAAAAAAAACAAAAAAAAAACTTTACTTAACAATATATGCTTTGAATGCTAGTGGGGATTATGTGAGGTTTTTAAAAGATAATTCCTGCTTTCTATAAGAACAGAGGAAAGTCATATTTCTTGAGCATAACTTAATGCCAAGCATGGTGCTAGGTGCTTACACACAGTCATTCTCTCTCTCCCTCTCTTTCTCTCTCTCACTGAGTAATATTGTTCCCATTTGACAGATGAGAAAATCGAGCCTCAGAGAGGTTGAACAGCCTACCCAAATAACAGTAAGTGGAAGCTCAAAGATCTGACGCCCAAGCTCATGTTTCTCCTGTGCTATTTGTCTAAATCAGAAAACTGTTATGAGTCAGACAACAATTTAGCTGAGCTCAAGTGCAGTTCTAGAAGCAGCAGCTAGGACTCAGCTTACAAAGGGAACACACACAGCATGTGCGACGGTGTCACTAGTTGGGCATGGTGCCCACGTGGCGATCCTCAAGGTGGCCCTGCCTATCCCCCCATCAGAAGCCCTCGTATTAAAATGCAAGTTCTTTAGCCCTGCTGACCTGAGTCAGGATCATTTCAGTGAGTTCCTCAGGTGATTCCTATGCATACTACAAGGGAAGCGTTATTTCTTAGAGTGTAAACAATAAAACACAGCAAGTTGCAGCCCAGAGTGAGAGTGAAAGAAATAATCTGCCAGCCCATCCTCTTCAGAAACAACGTTGAACGTAGTGGATCTCTGGACTGTAAGGGAGAACACAGTTTTGGATAAGAACCTGCACTGCAGTTTCCCTTGACACTTGAATTTTTTATAGCTGAGCAAGCCATGCTGAGTAATGATGAGGGAAGGAAAATATCATTTCACTTCTTGGCTTTCCCCTTTGTCTGAACGAAGGTGCCAGTGCAATTGCTGGCACCAGCCACAAAGGTCAGAGTGGGGATCAGCATCTGTATTTTGCAAGCATTTCCCTCTGGAAATATATATTGCACTGCAAAGTCCTCCCTGCCCAGAGATGACCTTTGCTTTCACCCCGGGATGGGCAGAGACTCTATCGTGATTACTTGCCTTTCCATCATCCATCAGCCTAGGCAGACACATATTAGGACAACCCACTATGAAGAAATGGGCTGTTCTTATTAGAGGGGGACAGAACCAAAGACCAAAAGAGATTCAGTGTTTATTTCATCCCAACTCAAATCAGCGTAGACAAAAGAATCTCTTTATTTTTAAAGTTAATAAAGAGTTTCGTTTTACATAATAGCCTTTGGCAGTTCGGTTAATACCGAATGTATGTTCCTTGGCTCAATTCTACATTTTTGAAATATGCTGAGTTAGTTGCAAGATAGCAATGACAGTAATTCCACACTGCTCGTATTTGCCAGCTGGCTCTGTTGCTAATTGTTACTTGGTCACTCCATCTTTCGGAGCCTGGGTGGTCCCCATTTACTCCACTGATAGGGAAACTGAAGTGCAAAGAGGTCACTTACATTCCTTGCCCAAAGTTACCAGCAGATTCTTGGCAGGGGTACGCTTAGCAGTTGGGCATCCCGGCTCTTTGTACTGGACCACGTAGTCAGTGATTTACCCTGAAACTTGGGCCGACATGGTTAAAAACCTTCTGTGGCTCATCAATTCATTGTTAAAGAGTGGTACAATGAATACCAAAAGGCCTGGCTGCACACGCTCTGAATAATGAGGAAATACATGTGAAGAGCCAAGAGCCTATGTGCCTGGAAAGGCAAAGCGATGCCTTCACTGCAAAACATCCAGTTTGGAGGGATTCTGGCTACTCAGATAAAACAGTGCATTGCGAGGCTAGGAAGCTGCACAGTTATCCTTCACAGCCAGGCAAAGCAGGTCATGTCGCTGAAACTCAGTTCAGGACAGGAACCAAAGGCTCCATTTTGGATGCATGACTTTTGAAATGCCTGTTAGATATCTCAGGTGATGAGACTGGGGCACTGAGACCATTAAGGCAATCCCAGTCACCTTCGGTGCCCCCAAGCAGAGGCCATTACAGGCTGTGTGAGGAAGGCCACAAAGATCAGGCAGAGCCTTTCCTTCTCATCCAGAACCAGCCTCATCTTGCCCCAGCTACCTCCGTCCGAGGGACAGACCAGGGAACCGGACCACCAGACACGCAACATTTGAGAAAGCATATTTGAAATAAAAATCTCCAGAGCAGGTGATGGAGCACTCAGTGTGAATTATAACGTGCCCCAGGTTATAGGTATCTCCCAGATCATCTCCCCCTGCCAGGTGCCCTGCTCTCTCACTAGCACCATCACTCCCTCAGCTGGCCTTTAAAACTACACCCCACTGTGTCTGATGGCTTTCACACCTCCCTTGCCTCTGCATCATCTCACATCACTCTCACAAGAGCTCTCTGAGGAAGGAAGAACAGGAACTATCAACTCCATTTTACAAACAGGCAAACTGAGACTCAGAGGAACAAAGTGACTCACTCAAGGTGACAGCCAAGCAGTAAACTAATGCGGCGCTCTGCATACCCAAACAATCCCCTAAGCACCGACGCCTGGAACCTTGTAGTCATCCTCGACTCCACCCTCTTTTTCATCTCCCACTAAACTCTGCCCACTCTCACAGCCCTTAGTCATCCCTTCTCTCGCCACTGTGAATCCAGCCCTCTTTTTCTCTATTGCTCGGTTTCCTATTCCCCGGCTTGTTCTTCTCCAATGCAGCCTGCATAGAGTAGTCCACTCCCCACTCAAGTGTGGGCTGTGCTTGGTGACGTCTTTCCAAAGAGGACAGTATGGAAACGGGGAGGAAAGTACCTTTACAGTGGACAAATCTGACAAACACTCCCTCGGTCAGGTGATCAAGTGACAGACATGGTGATAGTATGTAACTTTCAATATGATGTAATAAAAACTGGCACTTTACCTCTGTGACCTTCCTTCCAAAAAACCCCATAAATCCTAGTCCGATCATGAGAGAATTCCCAAATCGAGGGGCATTCTACAAAAACCTGACCAGTGCTCTTCAAAATTGTCAGCATCAAAAACAAGGAGGAAAATCCTCTTGTCACAGCCAAGAGGAGCCTCAGATGACATGACGACTAAATGTAATGTGGTATCCTGGAAGGGATCCCAGAACGGAAAAAGGACATCAGACGAAAACTAAGGAAATATGAATAAAGTATGGACTTTAGTTAATAATGTATCAATATAGGTTCACTAATTGTAAAAAAAAAAAAAAAGTATGTTAACATAAGCTGTTACTAACATGGGGAACAAGGTGTCGAGTGTGTGGAAACACTGCATTAC